GGTAGTCCAGGCTGGCCTCGAACTCACAGAGATCCGCCTGCCTCTGCCTCCCAAGTGCTGGGATTAAAGGCGTGCGCCACCAACGCCCGGCTAGGCATGTGCTCTTTAAAGACACCAAGCTCAAAACATCTGTACAGACTTCTGGTTCTATGGCACCGGCTGTAAGGAAGTACTTTGGAAGACAGCCAAAAGGAGGGGCCCTTGAACTCCACATGTTATTTGTCGTTTTATCGCAGAGAAAGAACTCAGATCAAGTCTTGGGTAGGGGATATCAGAGACAGATGAAAGCGGTTGAAACTTTTTTATCAGTGACTTCGAACGGTAATGGGGATGTCTGTTCCTTGTTGAGCAGATGCAATTGGGATGTGTTAAGAGGGCTATCGCAGCTCAATAGTCAGAGAGCTGGTAAGTTCAGCCTGTTGCTAAGTGTAGAGGGGGTTCGTCTAGCAGCATTTGTGAGTTTGTGTTTCCCACGAGAGCTAACCGACAGGAGCTGAGGAGACAAAAGGCTCTGCCTTCCTTCTAAGGTGTGCTTTCTTGGGTCCTTGAAAGTGTCCAGAATTATTTGTGTGTGTTGGGGGGGGGGGATTGATTTACAACTGTAAAGTTTTTTTTTTCTTTCTTTCTAGTAACTCTGTTAAGATAGGAAAGTGTAAACTAAGCTTGATGTTGCACACCTGTAATCTCAGTATTTGAGGAAGTGGATGCAGGAGGATCAAGAGTTCAAGGGCACCTCCAGCTATGTAGAGTTGAGGGTCAGCCTGGGCTACTTCAAATTCTGGCCATTAAGATTTGGATCTGATTTATCATTTTCTCTGTATTTTTGTAGCATGACATATAATGGGAGCAACACGCCTAAAATTAAGACAGTGGCCTAACAAAGTGAAGAGAGCAGATGAGGGAAACAGATCAAATGGTTCTTAGATAGACTGACTGTATGTTTTTCTCCTGTATGTAGTTACTTGTGTTCTAGGAACGGTTTTATATTAGGAGTATTTAAATACATTGACTGTCCTTTAGTTTCAGTTTTTCTTTTGGCCAGCCTAGTCTCCAATTCCTCATGTGGTAAACTGTTCTACTGTTGAACAGAAAAACCTCTTGACAATAGGGACTTGACAGAACTCATTTGTCACTTTGCACCTTGACTGGTTGTGGTCACTGTGTCCCAGGCAGCCTTCCAAGATTGATAGTCTTTGTTATTTTTGTGTGTGTGTGTGTAACCCTCTGATACTATCTTTATTAAGTAGAAATCTATGTCATTTGGAAATGATACTATCCCATCCTTTGTCAATTTTCCAAGTGTTTCATGAGTTGCCAGTTCTCAAAAAATTTACTAGCAACTTGAGATGGAATGGGTAAAGGGGAGATAAAAAGTAGAGTTTAAATGTGTCTTAGGAATTTGGGGTAGAGAAAAAAACTGAACACTTGGTGTTAGTGAACTAAAGTAATGAAGTCATTGTTTATATTTCACATACAGTCTCCTCTGTACCCATGTGTATGATTTAATCATTGTCTTGAATAAATTGGAATAAACTTTGAGACCAAACCATGTAAAATGAGGTTGTAAGTGCCTTGAGAAAACAGGAAGGTGAGAGATGAGAAGGCTGAGCCTGAATACCTAGTTTGTACTCTCTATAATCTTGTAGAAAGCCAGAAAGCTTGCTGCTACTCTTCTTCTTTGCTTCCTCCCCTCTCCAAGGGTAGCCTACTTATCACTATGTATGGCGTATCACTGTAGGTATATATCTTAGAGTGAAGATGGCTTCTAGTAACTTTTTGCTGAACAAACAAATGCTAGGGCCTGGGAAAGAGTTCATTTAGTCAAAGTGCTTACCTCACAACCATGATGGCCTGGGTTCGATCCCCAGGACTCACATAAAAACACTGGCATTGTGTTGTGTGCTTGTAATCCTATCACTGGAGAAACAGAGATTTGCTGGCCAATCTAGCTTAACATGAACTCTAGGCCAATGAGAGACTGTTTCAAAGAAAGTGAATGGTGTTCCTGAGGATGACACTTGAGGGCTTGAACACATCACTTGCACACTTGAACATGCATACACACATGCATAAAAAGAATTTAAAGCACACTGCCATCGTTAATGAGCTATTTTATTATCAAGTCAATAGCTGTTCACATGTTAACACTTGATTCAATTGGCAAATAAGTTGTTTTAGTTTTCATAAATACAGATCTCATTATAACTCTTGATCCACTGTTCAACTTGTTTTCTCCCCCTCTCACCTACACACTCTTTTGTAGTCAGAATTTTTTATTTTATTTTATTTTTTTTAAGAATTGGGACTTCATCCTGGGGTTTCACACATGCTAGACAAGTACTGTATCACTTAAGTACATTCCCAACCGTATACTCAGAGTTTTTCAATATCTAGTCTTTTTAAGAAAATGACTCAAAATAGCCCTGAATCATGAGGCACAAAATTTATTACTATGAGATTTTCTGCTGTGGAACATTCCTTTTCTGCACTATGAATATATATTACTCTCATTGGTTAATAAAAAGCTGACAATCCCATAGCTGGGCAGGAAGTTAGGTATAAAGCCAAACTGAGAATGATGGGAAGAAGGAGGGTGGAGTCAGGAGAGACCCCAGCCAGCCTCCCAGGAAGCAAGACATACTAGAGGACAGGTAAAACCATGAGCCTTGTGGCAATACATGGATTAATAAAAATGAATTAATTTAAATGTAAGAGCTAGCTAGTAACAAGCTTGAGCTATTAGCCAAGTATTTATAAATAGTATGAAGTCTCTGTGTAATAATTTGGAAGCAACTGCTGGGACAGGGAACAGGCCTATTCAGCCTCTAAGTCAGTTATTTGGCAGTCAGGACAGGAATGTCTGTTTACACTTTTCTGCCTTTTTGTGCCTCTCCTAAACCCTTAACTTATCTTTCATTTTTACCATCCCTTTCTAGAGAAATAAAGGGCCTTTGGTAGTCTCTTTAACTATTATGAAAAGCTTATGATTCTCTGCTGCTTTAATTTTTTTCTATTTAAAATAATAATGTGGTGCTAGTCACAATAGCTAAATTATAGAATTCACCAGAATGTTTTTCAGCAGATAAATAAAATGTATAAATACATAATGAAGTTTTGTTTAGCTCTAATGAATAATGCAATTATGTCATTTGAATAAAAAACAGAACTAGAGATCATCATACAAAGTAAAATAGTCCACACACACCACAGAAGAGTAAAAACACCACATTTTCTTTCTTTCTTTCTTTTTTTAAAAGATTTATTTATTTATTATGTATACAGTGTTCTGTTTGCATGTATCCCTGCAGGCCAGAAGAGGGAGCCAGATTTCATTACTGATGGTTGTGAGCCACCATGTGGGTGCTGGGAATTGAACTCAGGACCTCTGGAAGAACAGCCAATGTTCTTAACTTCTGAGCCATCTCTCCAGCCCCCACATTTTCTTTCTTATTTGCTAGGACATAAAAGGACATGCAACCAAAAGGGGAAGACCTGGGCATTAGAAGGAGGGTTAAAAATGAGTGGTGGCATTCCTAATGCATCAGTAGCCATATGCTTGTGTATTTTTAATGTAGTTTGATATATTCTACCCATAGCAATCTACACACCTATATAAAAATCTGTATTGGTCTCTTTGCCACCTTTCTGCCATTGGGAGCTCAGGCTGCTTCACCATGTTCTTCCACCATGATGTTTTGCCCTACTACAGGCCCAGAAACATGGAGCCAAGCAATTATGGGCTGAAACATCAGAACTGCTATGACAATAATGAAGGCTTTGCTCGGCTCTGTGTCAGCTGAAAGGCTAAGAAGAGAAACTGAAATTATACTCTCTTGTGCTTCATCTTGAGTGGGGGGTATTGACATAACTGGAGACAGAAGAAGTGGGCTCTCAGGCATCTTGACATTGTTATGTGAACTTGGGAGCCCTCTCCGGGACAATGGCTACTAGGGAGACATTGTTATGTGAACTTGGGAGCCCTCTCCGGGACAATGGCTACTAGGGAGACAAGTTAGACTTTGTTTTAAAATGTGCAATGGCCAGGGTTAGTAAGGCGCTCAGAAACTCTACTGCTGGTGAGTCTAAACTGGCCAAGTTGCCTGGGCCAGCAATGTGGCAAAAGCAGACAATTGTTAAATTTTAATGACATTGTAGGGAGTTTATACATCAAACAGAAATGGAAGTTCACTCAAATATTGTGCATAAAAATGTTCACTAGGTCGTTAATTTCACCATTGTGGTGATACTGTGTTCCCCAAAATATTGTGCACCCTAATAAACTTATCTGGGTTCAGAGAACAGAACAGCCACTAGATAGACATAGAGGCCAGAAAATGGTGGCACATACACCTTTAATCCTACCATTCTGGAGGTAGAGATCAATCCAGATCTCTGTGAGTTCAAAGCCACACTGTAAACAGCCAGGCATTGTGACTCACGCCTTTAATCCCAGGAAGTGATGGCAGGAAACAGAAAGGTATATAAGGCATGAGGAACAGGAACTAGAGCGTGGTTAAGCTTTTAGGCTTTTAGCAGCAGTTCAGCTGAGATCCATTTGAATGAGGACTCAGAGGCTTCCAGTCTGAGGAAACAGGATCAGCTAAGAAGTTGGCAAGGTGAGGAAGCTGTGGCTTGTTCTGCTTCTCTGATCTTCTAGCGTTCACCCCAATATCTGGCTTCAGGTTTGTTTTTATTAAGACCTTTGAAAGACCCCCAGGGGAGATCTTCCTTCAGGAGAGACCCCAAACCCAAGGAACACACCGAAACCACAGATCAGATGCAAAAGCAAGAGGGTTTATT